TCATGATATTGTGACAAAAGTAAGTTTAACAGGAAGAAAGTAAAAAATACTGATGAAAATAAAAATACAAATTTTGTTTGAGATTTTTTTTTTTTCTGTAACGCACTTTAAAATTGCCCTCCTGAGTTTCTTTGCATGTGCAAGTGGCAATCGCTCTGCTCACTTCTTTCGCCTCCAAAACAAAGTTTGTGCGCCGACCGAAGCGACACATCAATCCGGCGCGGTTCCAAGTGCGTACCTGCTGCGGTCCAGCAGCCGCTGCACCCTGAGCGTGACGACATCAATGTCCTCAAACAGCGTGTCCTTCTTGCCTCTGTTGGTGCGCACGCCGACAACGTTCTGGCCTTTCAGCACCGACACCAGCAGGATGTCCTCCCAGGGGCGCACATCCAAGCTGCGACAATCACACAAACGCCAACGTACGGTGCGTTGACTGACAGGAAACCAACTGGACAACACACGCAAGAACACGACAAAAACAGTATCTCAAAGAAACAAATTACAAATGTAGAAAAACTAACAAAAACAAAGCTAAAAAAAAAAAAAAAAAAACACACACAAACTGATAAAAATGCACACTTCAAAAAAACCACGAGAAACAGAAGATCGCAAAAATACATGCTAAAGGCAGACTTCAAACACATCCATCTCGTTACCTCTGCGTCCCGCGTCCTCGACGCATAATTTTCCCGCCAGACGCACAGTTCCAAATAATGTGCGGTTTTGGGACGCAAGGAAATTTCTCAGTCAAAAAAAAAAAAAAAGCAAAAAACAAACAAACAAAAAAAAAACTACTGTTAATCTTTTTTTCCAACAACGATCGCAGTTTGGCAATCGCAGCAATTGTTGTTTTGATCTCGCGTTAAGTAATCTTGCGTGACGAGATTTCCGTTCTCGCGAGACGAGATTGGCGAGAATGGCAGATGAATGCCAAGTCGTGCAACGTTAAAACAAGTGTTGCGAACAAGTGTTGCGAAAGTCTATTGCGGAGATATCGCGGAGGAAGCAGCTAAAGTCGGATCGTTTTTTTGCGCTAATAATCTTGTATGCCTGAATTATTTACATTTTTGCAGCATTTGTTTATAAGAAATAAACCTCTTGTCAATGTATATTGTTGTTGTTTGTGTTATGATCAGATGCAATTGAATAAGTACACCATTTCAGAATTCAAAATTTGGGACTCTCTAAATGCATTCTGATCAGCGAGTCCCTGGGACTCGCAGCAGAAAATTAACTCTGGTGATACCGGCGAAAAGGTGAGTATAAAAACGCTAGAACTTTAACACACACACACACACACACACACACACAGAATGCCAAGTCGTGCAACGTTAAAACAAGTGTTGCGAACAAGTGTTGCGAAAGTCTATTGCGGAGATATCGCGGAGGAAGCAGCTAAAGTCGGATCGTTTTTTTGCGCTAATAATCTTGTATGCCTGAATTATTTACATTTTTGCAGCATTTGTTTATAAGAAATAAACCTCTTGTCAATGTATATTGTTGTTGTTTGTGTTATGATCAGATGCAATTGAATAAGTACACCATTTCAGAATTCAAAATTTGGGACTCTCTAAATGCATTCTGATCAGCGAGTCCCTGGGACTCGCAGCAGAAAATTAACTCTGGTGATACCGGCGAAAAGGTGCACACACACACACACACACACACACACACACACACACACACACACACACACACACACACACCTGTCCCTGATGTGTTTGAGCTCAGGAGGGAAAGTTAAGTTCCTGTAAAACTCTTGCAGTTTTTGTCTGAACTCTGGCGTGAAGTCATCCATGACCATCTGCCTCTGCAGCGCGGACAACAACCTGGCATAAACAAACAAACACACGCATGAGCGCGTAAAACACACACACACTCATCAACGTCCAACTTCAAAGGGTCACAGGAGCACACAGCACCTGCGCATGATCATCCATTTGCTCGTTACGTTGGGGGAGGAGGGCAATACCGGGCAGCACACCCTGCACGCGAGGCGAGAAAAACAAAAATCACAACATGGACGACACACGTACACACACAAAAACCGAGTGACACTTTATTCAGCCCACCCGCGTCATCCAGGCAATGCGGAGAACGTGCAGGTGTACCTAATAGAGTGTCCGGCGAGCTTTGTTCACGGCCCACCTGGCCACCCACCTACCCTTCGGCGTAGAAGAGTTCAAGGAACTCCCGTGCGGCCCCCAGCCTCATGATGGCCGCCGCTCGGCCATCTTGTTGGTCGGCTTTGTTCAAGAACGTCATCACGTACTCGTAGGCGGGGGTGCAGCTGCGGGAGGGAAAACAAAAGTGCCGTCCAATTCGGAAGGCGCGCGCTGGGTCAAACGTGCGTGGGACTCACTCGTAAGAGATGCCGTCACCCGGACGCTTGTCGGCCATCAAGGACGCCATCTGAGCTCGGAGCTCCACTTTGAAGCGCTGCAGCGTGGACTCTGCGCGACGCATTGCACTGGTTATTTTCGTCGGGTGAAAAGGATGGGGGGGCGAAAAGACGAGTTGGCAAGTACCCGCTTGTCGCAGGTGGCCGTCGACCTCGGACAGTGTGACATTGAAGGCCGCCAAGTGGCCCAGCAGCGTGTCGTTTCTCAGCCGGTTCCACAGGTTGCTCTTTTTGTGGCTGTTGCAGTGACACGCGCCTCTCACGTGCCACTTTTCACACTTGCAACGACACACAGAATCTGCGCCGTTAACGTCATGCGGAAACGTGTTCCGAATGAGTTGAACACTTAAAAATTTGGAGCGAGAACCATTTGGAGAATGACCGAGTCACGGACGCCGCCAGTCACTGACCTCGGCTGCCAGTTTGTCGCAGATGTAACAAAAGCACTGGGCACACAGAAGCCGGTTCTCGGACACGGGTTCTCCGCACTCGTCGGTCGCTCTGAGGGGCAGAGGAAGAAGCCGTTTTGAACTTTACACCTCCACCTTTTTCGATGACCACGTCGATGGTAAGTTAGGACATTTTTTCGTCGGTGACATCATATGGCGAGTGTCAGGATCAACAAAATAGCTGTCGATTAAGTCAATCATCGATTCGTTGACGATGAATCGTCGCTCATATCCGTGATGATTAAAACTTGTTTCGGGCTAACAGAATAAATATGCTGTGATCTTGTTTTGCGTCCAAAACAAGTCCAGGCACACAGCATACACTGCGATGCCTCTCTCTGCCTGTCTCACTATCTCACTCTCACATCAGTTTTTAGTCAGCGCTGTAAAAACATAATTCGATTGAACTGGGTCGAAAACAACACAGCAGAAACTAAAGGCCTCACGTAAAAGGATGCCGGGGGCAATCAAAGCGTGCATGGGGCAACAACTCAGCTGGACGGGAGAAGGTGACCACCAAGTCTTCATCCAACTTACTGGGAGACAGCGTACAGTCTAAAAAGACACAACACGCCATGCTTATTTTGTGCGCACAAAGAGTACAGACGACAAAATGGCTGACCCTTCCGCGGCACGTCTTGCATATCGATGATGATCAGTGACGATTCGTAGCAGGATTTGTCCTGGTTGCAGTCGGCGTCTTCATCATCGCTGATGAGGATGATGCTACCAGCGTCCCCGGCTGAGCACATCACCAAAGTCTGTGAAAAACCCCGACAGACTTTTAAAATGTCACGGGGGAACATCTTCTTCGGACAGGGGAAAGTGATTGATGATTTCACATCCAATATTTGTCAACCATTCATTTTATTCACTCATGGCGACCAAATGCAGTGATCCTTTGCTATTTTGCGGTTCGTTTATCACGGCTTCAGTGCATCTCGGATTTTTTCCAAACATTCATAAAAATATATATATATATTTTTTAAATTTACGTCCGCAAAGAAACAGCGAGTCACATCGAGCAACATATACAGTACTACATGTATACGTTTACTGTATTTTGTTATTCATACACTAACTTAACCTAACTTATACATGTTTAAATCTATTAGTATACAGCATTAAGAAATGTTCATTACTACAAAATTTACTTCTCCATGCATGTATACCATTAAATGTGGCCTTATAAATATTTTATTTTACTCATACACATGTACATATACCTATAAAGGGGGGGGGGGTCGCTACTTTGCGGATTTTCATTTACCGCGGGTGGTTTCGGTCCCCATTACTGTATAATAATAAATACACATTGGACTTCTGGACAGAAGTTACAATTCAGGATTGTCATTGTCTCCCATTACCTCAAGATGGGACCAACTTTATTTTTCATGCCAGTCTGTCAGGATCTCTCGAGGATAATGGTTCTCAAATGGGGCCACTTGAGACTTAAAATTTTTATCATCTATTGAATTTAATTTATTTGCACTGGTTAGGGTGTAGCTGGTTGAAAAAATACTTCGCTAGGGTAGAGCAATTGAAATAAGTGGGGGAAGACTGCTCGAGGCGAGCTCGGCCGTGGCTTAAAATTGAGAGAAAAAAGGGGGGGGGGGTCGTGGATCGCTGATTTTTCTCGAGAGGACGACGACAAAAATCAGATTCCAACAAACAAATTACATGACGCCTTTTGGCGAAGCCAAACGATTTTTAAAAACAACAAGCACTTTGGATTCAAAAGTGCTTGTTGTTTTTAAAAAGTTCCAAAAGTTTTGAACAGCCACGTAAGGCTGTCACGACACACAGGCGGAACACAACATTTTGCCTAACATGACAGAGCAACAGAAGTGCTTGGAAGTTGAGCATTTGTGAAGTAAATTAAGAATTTTTCTTCTTACCTATCTGGCCAAACTTTCGAAACAAGGGATTTTTTCGCGCGGCTGGCAAATGCACTTTCCGGCTGCTTTCTTCTTCTTCTTTTACGATTTGACGCCGCTTGGCATTTATTGCGTTACATTACCGCCACCTGTCGCTATTTCTGCGCTCCGCACGACATTCGCAATCTCTTCTTCTTGGTCTCACATTCTTTTCAAAAGTCAGGACTTGTTTTTAAGCACGTATTGAGGTACTGTATTTCACTCCACCAATACTGTACAATAAACACGTTTTTATTCTGAAAGCGCATTGACAATCACGATACAAAAGCCACAACTAAGGTCTCGTCGTTTGTTTCCTGCTGCTCAGTGTGATCCTCGCCGCCGCTCTTTGCTTCTTCCGGCCCTCAATCATCTCGGCTTGAGTTTTGACAAAGGCGGCGCTCAATGCCGACTGCCCGTCCTGCTCGCCCTGAGCCGGCATGCTTTGCAACCACTGCTCGTAGTAACCGCGGAAGCCGTCAATTTGGAGCAGGTAGTTGTTGCGGGACTTGTACTGGAAGGAAAGGAATGAATAAAAGAGCGCATTAAAGGGGAGATATGATGGCAAACGTACGTTTTATTGTTGGTTGGGTCTCTCGGTTATCTACCCGTTTCTGAAGAAATTGTGTTGATGAGAGAGTCGAACTGCAAAATCTCACTGTAATCATGTGATATTTTGGCCTTTTCTTTCGGGAAATAAGATTTCATTTTCTTCGGAATGTACTTTTTTTGGAGTCACAAAACACAATTGCAATATTTTGCATTACAATATTTTATTCTCGAAATATAGTTTGTGTAATTTAAAAAAAATCTACTGTTGTAATACTACACATTTTTTTCAAAGAGATTATACTTTGTTCGCTGAAGCGCTGTCAACACATCTGAAAAATGCTTTTTAATGGTGTGAAGATAAATCATCATGCCTCCTTCTTAAAGGAAGGTCAGTCGGTGTCAGTGGTTGTCACGGTTACCTTGTCAAAGTTGGGGGGATACTGAGCAGCAAACTCCAGCTGTTTGATGATGACTTGGTTAGGCCACACCCCCTTGTCACGCATGCTTTTCAACAGCGTTTTGAGGTAAGCGTAATCCAGACGGCGACTTGCTCGGCCAATCAGGGCAGAGTACACATGCGTGTTGGGTTGTAACCCCGCCTCCTGACAAAAAAACACAGAGCCACTGTTCAGCAGACATGTCAATGATTACATGCAGTACTGAAAATGTAAATATTTTTGTCCCTTATTTTGTGGACTTTAGAAAATGATTTTATGATTTTTTTTTTTTTAAACATAAGATTTATTTCTAGGTATTCAATTCGTGTTGACTCAGCATGATGACCGTGTTGTAATAGGTTTGGATTTTTTTTTTTTAATTGAGCTAGTTTTAAGAAGCAGGTTTGTTTTATTTATTTTTCAGAAAACACTTCACTTTTGATTCGTTTTATAATTATTTTTAGTTTTTTTAATTCCAAGAGTTTTTACTGAGAGCATGATTTAAAAACACACACACACACACACACACACACACACACACACACACACACACACACACACACACACACACAAAAATGTTATTTCTTTAAAGAAAACGTATTTTCAATGTCAGCTTCGGTTAGTCTGTTAGTTGTGGTTAACAATGACATTACTTCCATGTCGGTGAGTAGTTGGAGTCCTTCCTTTTGTCTCTGGCATCCCAGCGCCAGGCTCCCAAACGTCTGCACATCCACGGTCACGTGGCGCTGTCGCATCACACTCAACACGGCCTGCAGACACTCAGACAAAATTTGAAATTAGAAATGAACTTGAATTTGCAGTTTCACTTCACGTCTTCAGCTGTGTAGGAAGGGGTCATAAATTATACTTCATGGGCCTGATGAACTCTGCCTAACAACAAGTGACAAGGCATCACATCATGCCATTTACTTGTCATAATTAAACTTGATGCATTGAGATGAGGATGGTTGTTTATCCGCTCATATAGATAATAATGGATGACGTTTTTTTTTTGTTTTAGTCGTGCCGGTGCTGCTGCTCAGAGGTTGCCACCGTGACATGGGTGACTCATGTCGCCCACATCAAAAACCATCACCGAGTCTACACGTCAACCTCACACATAGCATCGGCGATTGGTTTCATCACCTATTACTTTATCAACTTGAAGTCGATTTTTACAAGAACAACCTGTGACTGGTTGACATTTGGACTGTCTTCATGTACACACACAAGGCACCCAACTCGATGACAATACCTTGGCTGCATCCAGGTCCCCACTTCTGGCAGCCCTGCGAATGGCCGAGTTGAAAAAGGCGGCGTCCAACTTGATGTGGTGCCGTTTGGCCGCCTCCAATAGCGTCTCCAAAGACTGAAGACCGGGCGCCATGGTGTCCGCCAGCAGCGTCAGAGTCTGCAGGTCGGGCTCCAACCCGCCCGCCGCCATCTTCTCCAGGAAACCTCGGCCCCCGCCCAGCACAGCTAGTCTGTCAGACGCTCCTTCCACAGCTCCAAAGGAGATCAGGCCACCGCCGCCCTTTCCCTCCAGCAAGTCCAGCAGGTTTGGGGTGGAGTCAATGGGCAGGAGTGCAGATTCTGCCGGTGTGAGCGGCACCAAGGGGTTTTGCGTCTCGCCACCCCCACTTGGGACGTCGGTTTGGCCGAGCAGTTGACGCTCCAGAAGATCAACGTCCACTCGTTTGCCTGACTTGTTGTGGGACTCGTTTGACTGGAGCAGGATGCCGGAGGCCAGTCCGGGGTCACCAATCCGGCAATCCCTTGCGGTCCTCAAGAGCAGGTTGTAGTTCTTGGAGTCGGGAGCGAGGCCGGACTTGAGCATCTGCCGCCACACCTGTAAACGCAAAAACGACTTATTACGCTTTCACACTAAGAGACGCTTTGGAAACGTGTGCTTACGAAAATTCAAAGTACTCCAAAAAAAGGTTGGTGTGTCCATATGCGGAATGAAACCCTGGGGCAGATTAAATATGCAACATGTGCGATGGTAGAATATTCTGGCAGACTAAAATTGTGACGTAAGCAAACGATCTGGGGACCGCAGCGTTTTCTGAAGCGATGTACCGCAATTGCGTATCTCCTTGTGTTTCATTGTAAAATGCCAATGTCTGAAATAATTGGGGAAAAAAAAAAGAACAACAACAAGACAAATGCTGCATTTAATCCATCTGAGAAACAGCTGCTGCTGTTTTGGTCAGCAACAGAGCGGTTCAAAAGAAAGACCTGCAAAGCCAGCCTGAATCCGAGCTCTTTGTCGTTCAGACATCCCATCAGCAAGTAGTGAAACGTCTCCTGAGTAACGGCGCGACCGACATCCAGCATTTCCTGGAAAAGGACAAACACACCATTAAGCACAAATACAATTAAAAAAAATAATTCTACAGAAATGACAGACCGGGTTTGACTTGGCTGTGTTTTTTTTTTCTTCAAGTCAAGATAACACGAGCTACTGGACGGACCTTGTTTGGTAGCGAATGAATTAGCCATTAGAAAAGATACCTAGAGCAGGGGTCCCCAACCGCCGGTCCGCGGACCGGTACCGGTCCGCAGGGCATTTGGTACCGGGCCGCACAGAAAGAACTTGCCTTATTTCTGTTTTATTTATTTCGGAACACGAAAGATGTTTTATTTTGAAAAATTACCGGATTCTCTTTTACATCCGTCTGTGTCACGCTTGACTCACGTCAAGCCACACTTCTCGGTCACGTGACCAATGACGCTTAAAAACAAAACACTAAAGCCCGCAAAATGAGTAAAAATGCTGCTTGGAGATCACAAATGACAGCGGCCTTAAAAGTACGTTCGAAACAACTGGATCAAAGTTATGGCTGAATACTCTGAGATCGCCACAATAGCACTGTTGCTATTTCCGACATCCTACCTGTGTGAAGTGGGGAGTTTCTGCAGCAACGGCGACTAAAACAAAATTACGAAGTAGACTGGACATAAACCACACACTTGAGGTGTCATTGTCTCCTATTACCCCGAGATGGGACTGTCTGATTGCAGAAAATCAAGCTCGGGGCTGTGGTGAGTTGTCATTTTCATGCACTTTGAATTTGCGTTGTATCGTATTTTGAAGGCATTAAACATTACCAGAGCGATAAGAGTGTTGCGACCAGATTAGACGCTACTTGTGTTTATTATTATATTTCGAAAACACCACAGTTTTCATGCAGCTCATACCATATTATTTTGTTGTATTAATTCGCCACACCTTAAATGCCGGTCCCTGAAAATATTGTCTGACTTTAACCGGTCCGTGGGGCAAAAAAGGTTGGGGACCCCTGACCTAGAGTGCTCGCTTCAAACTGTTTAGTCTCACTTGAAGTTTACGAATAAACTAATCAAAAAACAATGAGAATTGCACACAGTGTATTTCACCAAATCTTGATGAAAGTTGCGCTGTTTCAGTGCAAGCGCAATATACAAAATGCCATCCATACGCTAACAAAGTTGCACCGTGATAACCCTCTCGGCATTTTTTTTTTTTTAAAGACACATAACACACAAACACACATAAACGGAAGACAAATTGCACGTCGGCGCACACAGACCCTGAGCGTGTGCATGCAGGCGTGCAGGTTGCCGCTGAGCGCATGCCACTTGAGGACGGCGTGGTAGGTGGCCGAGCCGAGAGTGAGGTTCTTGCGTCTCACTTCCCGTTCCAGCTTGAGCGCCTTCTCCAGAGCCGCGCGTCTGTGCGGCGACTCTGCGCAGGCGTTGAACAGAGCCGTGTAGGTGGCGTCCGACGCCTCTAGACCTCGCTTCTTCAGCTGCAAGGCACACGTGTTCGAAAGCACAATGACATTTATTTGGACAAATACTGTATATAGGAATAAGCGACGAGTTAAGGCGAGGCGTTTATTTTTGTTCAAGTGGATGATTTCTTATGAGAGTGGAGGCATGCAGTGGACTGAATTGGGCAAAAAAATAATAGAGACGACATTTATTCAAGTGTTCGGGTGTCCTGATAAGCGCTTTAATAGACTGTGTAAGATAATGTCATGGAAAATAGTAACACATAAGCGTCGTTTGCAGAAATTGCTTCTTTGAAATTGTGTGAACAAAAATGCAGTTTTTTAACAGACTTTTACATAGTATATATAATATAAAATCAAAAAGGAATGCATGCTAAGAAGAAAAATAATTGATCTTTCATGTTCAAAGAAATTGGCGTTTAAGTTTATTTAAAAGGTTGGCTGAATGAAGACATTGGGATCATATTAAATCACAAATTTGATATGAAAGAATATTTAATCTTTCAAAAGACATAAATCAGGGGTGTCAAACTCATTATTGTCGTGGGCCACATTTTAGTTAGCGTTTCCCTTGGAGGGCCGTGATGACTGGCAGCATATAAAAAAGTCAATAATAACGGTTTATTCAACTCTTGATTAAGTTACTGTAATGAGGGGTTTGCTCACAAGAAAATGCTTATGTGTCCAATTTATTAAATATGACAATTTTAAAATTTGGTCGAGCATCATGGACTGGACATGTTTGATTTGCTTTCGCAGGCCACATCAAATGATGTGGCGGTCCAGATCTGGCCCCCGGACCTTGAGTTTGACACCTGTGACATAAATGAATACTTAAACACATCTTAATATAAATAATTTTACGTATATATACAAACATGAAGAAAAAAAGGTTCATATATATATTTTACTACACGTGTGTGCCATGTGAGGCATCCTCACGTCGTTGTAGAGCTTGAAGGCCTTGTTGAGGTGTCCGGCTCGCCCGCAGCCTCCTATGAGCACGCTGTAGTTGTACTCCTCCGGCTGCAGCCGCTCTCCGCGCAGCATGTCTTTCTCAAACATCTCCAAGGCCTCCTCAAGCTCAAATGTCAGCATTTTCATCAATCAGCCACACAGCATTTGCAAAAAACATGTATGCATCGCGGTCACGTTTGCGACTCTTACTTATCTCAAGTGCCATTCTCTTGAGAATAGAAGGTATGGGTATGACTGCTTTCCCGCTGGACCAAAACCTTGTCTTGAGACAAGACTGGAACCTTGCCAAGAGACTCACCATTTCCCTCAAGATGAGCACCCTCATTATCTCAGTGCCAGAAGCTTTTCTCTAAACCGGGGGTCTCAAATTCCATTCTTTGAGGGCCGCTTTCCTGCTTGTTTTCTGTCTCCCTGCTGCAACACACCCGATTCAAATGATCAGGGCCTTTGTCAGGCCTCTGCAGAGCTTGCTGATGAGCTGATCAATTGGATCGGGTGTGTTACGGCAGGGAGAGATGGAAAACGAGCAGAAAGCGGCCCTCGAGGACCGGCGTTTGAGACCCTTACTGTCATCAGCAAGCTATGCTGAAGCCTGATATTGAGCCTGTTCATTTGAATTAGATGTGTTGCAACAGGGAGAGTTGGAAAACATGCAGGTCAGCAGCGCTCCAGGATCTGAGTTTGACCTTCTCTCACGACTATTGTATTAGATCTTTCGCTGTCATCGACAATCTTCTCTCGTGACTAAAACCTTCCCTTGGTACGATGACTTTGAGACGCTTCTTTGGGACTTCACCATTTTGTTGTTATTCGGACATTATGTGGTCAACGACCTTGTCTCGAGACTTGGACCTTGCCTGGGTACTAGACTCTCTTGAAGATAAGAACCTTAATTTCTACGTGGCATAATCAATTTTCTTGGGACTAGGTTATAAATAACACTCACCTTCCCAGCTTTAATCAGCTTCTTGCATTGTAAGAAGTACCAATAGGTGGTATTTCTCCTGCCGGGCCTGCGTGAAGTTTCCTCCGGCTTCTGGTCGTCGTCGTCTTGTTGGTAGCTCAGGTCCAACATCTCCGGGCTAACTTTACGAAACGACCTCCGGCCGGAAATTTCGGCGGAAAGGGTGCCGAAGTCTTCATCAGACGGCGAGGCGAACTCCGCGTCCTGCCGCCACGCGGAATCTGACAGGGAGATCCGTCTGACGTGCACACCGCCGGGAGTGAGGAAGAGCCTCACCGCGGGTGATGGTGGCGCTCCATAGCGGCGAGCAGCTCGCTTGGTGACCGCTGATAGACGGGACAATTTAGCACCCATGAATGACATGGTTGCCCCATTTCGGCAGCACAAAGTTGCTAAGGACGGGAGCATGGTTAAAAAAAATAAAACGAACAGATCCCAAGCCCCAAAGAAGCTACAGTATTAATCATCTGTAGACAATTTATCGTGCTGTTGTTTGACGAAACTGCCCGGGTGTGTCATGCGCGCCGCCATGTTTGATAAGACAGGAGTAATCGAGAGTCGAGCAAATAAAAACGAGACCAAATATGATCAACTCCTCTGGCACAATTGAAATGCAAATCAGAATAACATTGCTAAGCAAAAGAAAAATACAAAAAAAAAAAAAAAACCGAAACAGATTGAAAAAGTAACATTAAGAAAAATTTGATCATTTAAAATAAAACGAAAAATTCTATGACGGATGCTAAGACTTTTTACGAGTTAACATTTGAATATGTATCATTTTAATTTCCTTTTAGTGTCGGATTTTATTGTGAAAGGGAAAAAAGTATTTAAAAAAATCATAATTTATTGTAACTGTAGGTCCAACATATACGTTTGTAAACAAATACATCTATTCCTTTGGCACTGATAAAAGAGTGGCATGTTATCCCCCCCCCCCCAACCATTTTTTTTGCCCATTTGAGGCATACAAGACATGTTGAGAAGAAAAAAAACCACAATGAGCAGTGCTCTTTGTTAAATCGGTTAATAGGTTCCACTTAGTTGCACTAGTGTGGCGTCACACCATAATTTATTGTAACTGTAGGTCCAACATATACGTTTGTAAACAAATACATCTATTCTTTGGCCCTTAAAAAAAGGGTGGCTTTTTACCCCCCCCCCCCAACCATTTTTTTTGCCCATTTGAGGCATACAAGGCAAGATTAGAAAGAAATGTGCTTGAAAATGGTACAAAACAAGCCAAATCAGTCATTTCAAGTGTCAACTTCAGCAGCAGCAGCACCAATGGCGTTAGGATTGTGTTGGCATCACCATGGTGACAAATGCGGCGGCTGGGCCACGTGACTCTGAAATAACGTGATGCCGTCCAACAGGGTGAGCGGGATGTCTCTGATGACGGAAGGCAGGTCTTCCTGCTGTATCGGGTAAATGACCGCAGAGAGGCCCGGACGCTCGGAGGAAAACCTGCAAGAGAAACGCCCAAAATATTAACAAAGTATGTCATGTCATTGTCAACACTGCGTATGCTGTACAGGGTCACTCGGGAGTCAGAGTCCAACCCAGCTGACTTCGGGCGAAAGGCGAAATCCTGAACTGGTTGCCAGCCAGTCGCAGAGCAAAAAAAGAGACCAACAACCACAGCCACACCGTCAATGAGCAGGAACCGAACCCACGCTGCCTGCACTTACCCAAAACATGAATCGCTAATATAAATCACACAGCCATAAATTTGTGCTTTTATGCAGACCTGTCAAGGAGAGTTTTCTGGAGATTGCGGCAGGCCACCAAGGTGCCACCGGTGAACATGTGGCACATGACCAGGCGGCCGCAGCGCTCCACAAATGACTCAGCCGCCGCCCCCTCGAAGGAGCCGTTGCGCGAGATGAGGCAAAAGCGTTGCAGGCGAGAGCAGCAGGAGAGGGCGTCGAAGAAGGACGAGTTGGCGTTCAAATAGGGCTGCTCTAACCTGAATATACACAATCACAACAAATATGGTCAAAATGAGCCGAAAATGTGACCTTTGAACCAAAATGGTAGAGTTCCTGTGTTTTGTCAGGCATGGCCTATTGATACGTCTTTGTGCATCTATTTATGACAAACTTGTAGACCAAATGTCATGTTGTTCGTATAAACCGGTTCTGAATTTTCTAAGACAAGTTTGTCATTGACGGACCTCTTGAAAATTTCCCAAATAGGCTTAAAATAAATCACCAGTTCGAATCAAAACAGCAGACGACATGCATTTTCACGCGTAGATTTTTCATGGCAGGATTGTCGAACAAATGCTTTGGGGGCGTCCGCGTTACCTGAGTTCTCGTAGCTGTGAGCAGTTTCTAAGCGCCTCCAGCAGGGAGGCGTTATAGTTCATGATTTTCAGTGTGCCGATGTTGGCGAGCGACAACATCTGCAGGTCCTTGCACCGCGTCACGAGGTGGGCGAGTCCCGTGCCTCGAAGGACGCCGGGCAGGCCGGCCAGCGTCAGGCGGCGCAACCGCCGAAAACCTCCCAGCGCCGCCAGGTGGGCGTCGCCAACACCGCGGGCCCACGCGCACATGCCGCGGGGCTCCACACTCGCTCGGGTGCACGGCTCCAGGCGGGGCAGCGCTGAGACGAAACCCGGCCCGATGAGCTCCAAGGCCTCCATGGAAAGGCATCCGGCGGCCAGGTGGCTGATTCCCAAGGTGCTGTCCCCGACAGCTGGGGAGAGTATCCAAAAGATTTATTCAAATCAAAACTATAGTACAGGTAAGAATTCTGTTTAAAAACAAAATTCAAGAACAGCGGTTGACAGACGAGATTCCGGCCCAACACCAGCGCTCTTTTCTTTATCCTCAACGTAAAATGGTAGAAGTAGATTCTTTTTCATTTGGGTCGCCACAACTGCTATATTTCCTCCCAGTGGCCAGGAAGGGCACAAAGGACTAGCAGGTACAACAACGGTTTAATTCTTTATATTCTTTTTAATTATGATATTACTCTGTTTGTGCTAAAATTCTTTATTTAAAAAAAAAAACGTTGTGGGGCAGGTTAAACAAAATTTGTTCCATCCATTTCAACGGGGAAGGACACGGTTGTTGAGAGTTTTGAGCATGTTTGCAGAACGAATTATCACAATGAAAATACTGTGTTATGCAGTTGTGAGCTCGCATTTTCAATTTTATTTTTGTGTGTGTGTGGGTATTTTGCCATCTTTTTAAATCTCATTTTATGGCAGAGGGCCCAACCGATTAAAGATGATGCAGATTTTGATATTTGGCATAATAAAATTCCAATAAGGGATTCATTGAAAATAAACTAAATTAATTTGCCAATTTTCAAAGAGCTACTATTGGCTATTGTTTTATTTTTATGATTGTCTTATAGAGTAGAATACTGCAGTAGAGTGCTATTTTTCTTCTTTAAAAATAAATAAATAAATAAATAAATAAATCATTCCGCAATTTTCTTAGGTTGTTGTAGCGGGTGTTCGAACATCTTCACACCAACCTTGGGTTCCTGTTTCCGTGCCAACTTTGTAGTTCTGCACGCCCACTCGAGGTAGTTTTTTCAAGCCGCGTAAGAGTAAGGATGACGAGTTCTGCGCGGCACAGAGATGCGACTGCATGCCGTCCGAAAGGGCGCAGGCCGGGAGGGTGAGCGAGCGAAGGTGCCGGAGTTTAGCCAGGCTGGCGCACAAATGGGGCGTGGCCGGCGGGAGTGCGGCGGCGTGCTCGTGATGGTAGTGTGTGTTCATCAGGTTCAAGTGGCGCAGGTTGACGCAGCAGGAGGCCAGTCGGCTCATGTTGGCGGGGAGCAGCTGATCCTCGGCACCGCGGCCCTCCGAGTACGGCGCGTGGTTGATGCCGCTCAAGTTGAGGCTCAGCAGGCGCGAGGCGTCTCGCACGCCGCCCTCCAATAGAGACCGGAACACCTTGTGAGTACAATAGGTAGGGAGGTAAGTGTTCATTCCATCACACTTTTGACAGATTAATAAAAATGACATGGCGACATATGCTTATTATCGAACTTGCAGTAATTCTATCTTTTTAAGGGCAGTTTCTCTCGCTTACATTGTGCTTCATTGTGTTTCTAGGCAAGGCAGCTTTATTTATAGAACCCATATACAAGGTAACTCAATGTGCTTCACATTCCAAAAGCACACCACTGAAAAGCAAAACAACTAAAGGCAGTCAAGGACAACGCAAAGAGAACAAAAGTATCTGACCAAGATTGCTTCAACATACATTCCCACCATTTACAAATGATTTCAAGCCATTTAAAAAGAAAGAAAAAGGAGCTTTCTAAAATTACTAAAAGGCCTTACAGTGAAATTGATTTCAAAGACCTTAATCGAAAGGGGTTGGCTCGAGTTTAAAAATAAACTCGCATTTTCACTTGGGGCTGACTCGACTTCTGTCGCGTGCTTTTTCCATTTCTGTGTTGCATAACAGCTAAATGCTAGTTCACCATGTTTACTTTGAAACCTGAGCTCCACTAACTGACCCGAGTCTGCAGGAAGACAATTATATGTTCTTTTTCAATGGTCTTATTTATAAAAAAAAAAATAATAATAATAATAATCAAAGGGATTATTGACATTTCAATGAATTTCAATGTGTCAAATTTATTTGACATACGAGCTTAGTGCAGAACAAAAATAAACTCGTGAGTCAAGGCACCATTGTATTGCAGTTTTTCGGCTTCATTTTAGTTTGGAGCGTTTTTGGTTTTTTTTTTTGTTTTTTTTTTGTGTGTGTGTGTGCCACAGGTACAGATGACGACTGACAGAACCCTTTCTACGATGGAACTTTCCTGTACAGGGCAGGACAGCGGCTGAAGCTCAGGTGCTTGGGGCTGGTGCCTTCCAGCGCCTGCTTCAATGACGAAGAGTCCAGCCAAGACCGGGGAAACTGCAGGGCCTCCAGGTCGCCACGCAGGCCCAAGCTCTGGGCCAACGAGGGGGCGGTGGGCCAGCGGGCCGGGTTGGGGCCGGGGACGGACACCAGGAAAACGCGGAGGCGCTCCGGAACGTGAACACTAAACACGGCCAGGTAGAGCAGCAGCAACGTCTGGTTCACCTAAGCACAAAACAAACATCGCCTTTCATGGCTTTTGTCGGCAAATCGTCTCATGTAGCTTATTGGTTTCTGTTGATGTATGTCTACGTCTTGTGGAACAAAACTAGAACTATCGAGCCTTTGAAGATGCCGAACAGAAATTTCAGGAAGGGGGTTGTGGAGGAAGCTATCGCCTCATGAGAGGTTTATGTATGATGAGAATTTCGGTGTATTGTGTGGTGTGTTTGTTTCTAAAAATGTATCGGTATAGTAAAAGTGAAACGGATGTAAAAATACTCATGGGTTTGGGGGCGAACCTCTCCTGGAGCCAGTCGGGCGCTGAACTCCTCCAGCCGCTCGTAGTGCGGCACGCTGCTCTGACCCACCATCAGGTGGCAGCTGACGCCAGTGCCCTCCCTGGTCACGTCCGAGATGTCGAACTGCAGCGTCAGCCTGACAGCACACAAACGCAACACAATACTTTGCATCTTACTCGCATGAGAGTAAGCCGTGTGAAAAAATACCGTCCAGGTTTCGTGCTCTATATGCAGACGAAACAGGCAGGATTGCTTTGAATCATATTTAATCAATATCATATTTTTTACACAGACCTTTACATTTTATTTTGTAATTTAGCTGATATGATACTTTTAAAACTTTCTTTTGTAATTTATTTTTAATTTTACTTGAATTTTCTATCTGTATTATATGTACTGAAACATGTATTTTAAATCTATATAAATTTACAAATTATATCTATAAAATTCACAAAATTACATATGTCTGTAATGCGATATCTGTGAAATATTTATTCTGAACAAAACTCTTGAATTAGATTTTTGTTTTGAAACCTATTTTTAGCCTTAGAACTTTGAAAAATTGCCTGACAAAGGACATATTTTTCATTTAATTCAGATTTTTGTGCGTGATTTAACTGTACTTGATCACATGTGCAAATATAATTAGTGTTTTAGTTTTGACATTCATTTTCATGCATTTTTAAAAAATGTATTTTACATTTGAAATTTAAACGTATTCACTGTAATGTCATATCAATTGAACTGTACAAATTATTTTTCATACAATTCTTTTGAATTTAATTTGCACCTATTTTTTACATTATTCTTCATGGTTCAGTTTCATTTTCTGTTGTAATCTAAGCTTGACATTTGATGCATTTGGTTTACATTTTTTTTCTATTTATTTGCGCATTTCATTTGATACTTTTACCACAATTAATTTCGAAAGGAAACATCACCTTTACTACAAATATTTTTTCTGAACATATGTGAATTCAATTATAAATTTAAATGTTCTACGCCACGATGCCCCCCCCAAAAAAAACAAACTTTGAATCCAATTTTTTTACTTTTAATGACATTTTCATTCGGAATTTCCTTTTAGTTATTTTTTTTAATCGTGAAATGATTAAAAAAAAGAAAAATAATTGACAATAAATGTTGTAGGATGGCCACAGTCCACCCTGGACACTAAGAATGAAGACTAGATGGTCGGGTGGCTCCCGTGCGGTCCTTACTTGCGAAGCTGAGCGCAGCAGGGCACCACCCCGTAGCTGGGGGTCAGCAGCGTCTGCCGCAGCTCTGCCAGGCGGCTGAGTCGGTCCACCGCCTCTCCCGCCAACTTGCCGGCGTCGAAGCCCGGCTGCACGTCGAAGGCCAGCGAGCGCAGCAGAGGCAGCGAGGCCACCAAGCGAGAGAGGCGCGACGCCGTCATCCGGCACCCGCTCAGGTCCAGACGCGTCACCGCCTTGCAGCGTCCCACCGAGTCCACCGCGCTGCTGTTCAGCCAATAGACGCCGCTGAGGCTCAGGGACTGCACGTGATTCGACAGCTGCCGCAGGGTGTGGCGAACCGTCTGATCATCCATCTGTGCAAGAAGAGGGGACAAATATGAGGAAGATGACAGATAAACGTGTGAACTGTACACCCGTTTGTCTCCCCGCGTGTGACATGCATGTCCATCTATTATTCTGCCTGTGTGCATGTGTGTACCGTGTACTCCTCGGTCAGGCATACGTGCGCTAGCAGACTCTTGTCGCGGCACAGCGTTTGCAGCCGTTGGCAGACGGGCGCCACGTTGGTGAGCAGGTCGCACACGGGCACGTGGCGCAGGATGCACAGAAGGATCTCGTCAGACAGATTGGACATGCCAACCGCTGCCGACGCCATCACGAGGTCTTCCTCGGCCTGGCCTGCATTGAAACGTTGACCAACATTTGTGGGTTCACCAAAATGAAAATGGAGACAGAGCATGACCTACGCTTGATTTTTTTTTGTTCACTGTAAAATGTTGCCCAGAAATGTTGTTATAATTAAATACATTTCTATATTTAGTTAAAATAAAAATGTAGTTTAAAAAAAAAAAAAAAACTAAAACTGTACATGGGCAACATAAACACATTTTATACAGTATTACTGTACCTGAAAATTCTACACATAAATAATAGAAATTGTTTTTATTCATTTTAAATTGTGAAACGTAATAAAAATGGCAAACGTCCATGAGCTAATAATTGTTTTTTAAATTATTATATATATATTTTTTTTATGTCTGACGGGTTTTTCATACAATTACGGAAGAGTGGAGTTCACAGAAAATAAAAATAAAAATCTTCAGAGTGAGGCGTTTGAAAGTGATCCGCGCCACATAAGGAAAGGAGATACTTTCTTGAGTCATGCTGTTGATTCATAGCAGTTAAAAGATCCCTCTGATCACTGATGGTGGACATACACTGAATCAGAATCAAAATCGCCTTTATTGTCATTGTATAGCATATAACGAAATTTGGGTTCATTTCGTGAAAAATAAGATAGAATAAAATAACGATAACGAAATTTGGTTTCATTTCGTGAAAAATAAGATAGAATAAAATAACGGTGAACAAGCAGACTGGGAGAAATTTTCGCCACGAACAGAACTGTGACGTTGAAGTTCACCTGGCGATGTACCAATTAGCCTACATGCTACATGGTGCTAAATTGTTTATCCTCCCACCTGGTGAACTTGTCGCTCCTTCGACGTCTGAAATGTCAGCAGCGCCGCTCAGCGTGGACACCGTTGACACTATTATTTTAGATGTCAGGTGCTCAGCCGCTGAGGAGACATGTTTGCTTTCGGGCTTCAATTCTCCTCCCCACCGCCTCCCGCTTCGCCTTCTTGGCATGTACGGACATAATTCATCGCTGCAAGACGGCGGAAGAATTTACGCGTTGCACCCAACGCAGGTCAAAGCAGTCTATTTCCGATGAATCGATCAGTCCGAGCAAGATGACGACAGCCTCACACAATTAGCATCAGCGGAAGAATTGGTGAGTTGGAACTCCTCGAGTGGAGTTGACGCTCATAATTCCCCTTGGATCTTCCAATTCTGAATTTAATTTTGGTTAATCACATGCTGTTAGGACGGCTCACCGAGGGGCCCTCCGTCATCTGTCAAAACAAATCGCTGATGCACGTCGTCTGGTGTGAACATGTTATACATCTTTTAAAAGCTGAGTTTCTGGAGATTTGAATGGTGCCCAACATTTTACAGTTCTCAAATTTGAACTGGAACTTGGATAGATCTCAAGCTTTGATCCTGTAGTGTTTTCAAGTCCTAATCAACATTCTAAATTCATTTTCAAGGCAGATTTTGTGAAAAGAAATTGGACGAACATATGATTCGCCTTTTCTTTCTGTTTTCAAACATCCATTGTTCAGTGACAGGAGCGCTTACACAGATTCTGACTGTTGTGGGGGGGACATTTTGAATATTTCATAAAGAGACCAAAACTATGTTGATACTCCAAATGGTTCAAGAACAGCTACAAAATTAATTTGGGTGCACCTTTTTTCAGGCGTTTTTGGCAAAAATGCCCTCAGCCTAAGGGGTTAAACAGTTGTGATGTCTTTATTAACATAAAAAAGATACATTTATAGTTTATTAGTTTATTTCATTATTATTTTTTATAATAGTAATAACAATAATTCATTATTAATATTTTTATTTATTGATATATAAATTTACAACAAAATTGACACTAAAGTTGTACTTGATACTTGATAAATCGGCTGTTGCAACCATTTAAAGTCAAACACTAAATTAAGCTAAGCTAATGTCGAACGCTACATTAAGCCAAGCTAATGTCATAAATGGCTTATCAACATTCTTTTTTCATATGTGAAATGTCATAAACGGCCTATCAACATTCTTTTTCATATATGACACCATCTGTAAAAGTGTGTGTATCTGATTGCTAATTACTCAACTCAACTTTATTTATATTTAAAAAGCTAAAGCTGTACTCCCAAACAAAGTGCTCTGCATAAAGTCAAAAACGGACATAAAAAAAACAAAGTTAAAACAATACATTCATAACAAACATTAAATTCCTTGCCTACGTCAAATGCTCAAATGACAGGGATTGGTTTATTACAGCAGTTGTATATACAAAAGAAAATATGACACTAACACTGGCTACATCCCTCGTGATGATGTAGTCTTAGCTGAGATGAAGTCATTCCCCAGCAGTTGTTAGGCTTCCTTAGTTTGGCGACACAGCGCGGCTCCTCAGACAGCCGCAGGTGAGGTACTTCATGGCGGTCATGCTGATGTGCATGAGCGAGCCCAGGTTGAAGAGCATGTGGTAGAAGGCGTGGACCGACAGGCCGCCCGTCTCGTCGGCGTACTTGAGGGCCACTATGGGCGTGTACAAAGGGTTGGTCAGATTGCGGAATCGCGGACTGCTGGCTTCGATCACCTTCTTGGTGCACTGTGAAAATGGCAGCGGTGGCAAGAGTACTCGCACTGTGGACTGAAGCAGGAGCATAGATACAGTACTTGTGCAAAAAAAAAAAAAAGTCTTACTCTGGCTATGTCATCCGGCGTTTGTCCCAACGTCTCAAAAATGTCCACGGAAGACGGCAGGTAGACGTTCTTGAAGTAGTGCACCGTGTCCGGGTCGGTCCCCGGGTACTCCTTCTGCCGCACGTCTTGTATCATCTTGGCCTCAAACTCCGTGTGAACAGGGCCAGGCTCGATCATCGACAACCTGAGAAGGAAAACGCCAAATATGGGATCACAATTCGGTATTATGTATGAACGGCGGTTCTCAAACTGAGCTCCAAGGGTCCCTCTGCTGTAGCTTTCGGGGAGCTTTTCCAAATCCAGTTCAACATGGCGTTAAGGGGACCACACTGTATTTATGAATAATTGGTGTTCAAATTGTGAGAGGGTCCTGGGGAAAAAAAGTCTCCTCCAGTGTAAGGTGTCCCCCGAATCCCAAAATGTTTGAGGATTCCTGACATATCAAATGATGCTTACGTGACGTTGAACTTCAGCAGCTGCACGGCCAGACTCTCGCAGAAGCCCTCCATGGCAAACTTGGAAGCCGCGTAGACGTCGTTGAAGACCACTCCTGTTCAAAGAAAACCAACCAAAAGAGGGTCTCCTGTATATAGGACTGGAATCGGTCCGTAAATGATTTTTTTTATTTACGATAAACGATGTATCTTTGTTCATCTATCTATGCCAGCAGTTGGTCGTGAGAGGGCGAGACCTTAAATGCTCTTCCACTAGATGGCAGCACGTTGAATTGTGCATCCACCTGTTGCTGTTGATACGACAGAATAATCGCTTCGTGTTTGACTAAAAAGGCCAAGATTCCACACTAAGCGAGTGAATTTGTGAGTAAAGTTGAACAACGATGCTCACGATTTCCGTCTACTTTTGGCAACAAAAATGAATGTAAAATATGCGCCTTGACTCAATTAAACAGTGATTGGTGAGAGCTTCGTTTCTGCTGTCCATTTTGTCTCTGCTGGCGGTCTTCAAAGGGACAGCGGTTTTACTTTACTCTCAATTCATCACTTGAAGTCGCAATGCAATTTTTCCCAGCGTTCTTGAGTGCAGCTTGGGGAAGTGGCCGCCGCCCACCTTGGAGTCCCATGACGCTGCTGACCACGATGATGTGTCCCCCTTTGCGTCTCTTCATGTCAGGCATCACTTCCTTGATCATTCGGATCACACCAAAGAAGTTGGTTTCGAACACCTTCTTCATCTCCTCGATAGGAATGCTCTCCAGGGGGCCCACCAGGCCGATGCCCGCGTTGTTGACTAGTCGGGGAAAAAACACAAACTTGGTTCAGTGAATTGACTCGGTTAGGTCAAGACATCGTCGGAGTCTGCAGTGTTTCTGGTGAGTCCGTTGACTCAAGTCAGTCACACGATGAAACCAACCGTCTGTGTCGTTTCTTTTCCGAGATCCTCTGATTTGTTTTCCAATCTTGAGATGGCCTGGCGCTGGCCCCACCTTACCTCTCTGAGCTCAAGTCTGCCGCCCAGACACTACTAGATGCAGCGAGAACTAAGCGGAGGTATCCGAGCGTCCCGGTCCCCTGTGGATCCAATGAGTCCTCTCCCTTAAGTCCACCCAATCATTTTAGACCAGGGTGTTCAGCGAGTCTAACCGAAGTCGGTGTCACGATTTCTCTGAATCTGCGAATTTAACTCAGGCAACCGATTCATCGGAATACGACAGCGTTTTGTCGAGTTTTCGTACGCCAGCCAGACACCCAATTCACCCGAGTCTGTCGTGTTTCTTGGCTCAGTGCACTTCTGAATATGTTGTTTCTGGAATGCCAGTCACACAGCCGAATCATTTGAGTCGCTTGCTTCAACCGAATCTTCTTGTCGATCTTTTGTTTTTTGTTTTTTTCCCCAGCGACTCTTCTTACTCAAGTCACCCGATCATCTTTGTCGCGAACCGGTCGTAGCCTTCCAGGCGACTCACTAAGGACATCGACGTGGCGATCCTTGATGCCGTTGATGCACCGTTTGACCGACTCGTCGCTGCACACGTCCAGCACGGCCAGAGAGAGCGTTTTCCCATACGCTTCGCCGGCGGCTTCCACCAACTTGTCCTTGCGCTTCAGGTCCCGCATCGTAGCCACGACTGCGGACGGAGCAAGCAAAGGAAATACCTCCAGTGGTACTAAATTGTCTTTGACTGTCATAACACCACTTTGTTAGCCACGCGACAGGTTTTGTGATGATCTCCACTTCCGTGATTTCCAGCGGGAATGAGGCCGAGGCTACAAACGGCGGAGCAGAGATTACGGCTGAACGAGGCTATAAAAAGACGCTCACTACGCTGCGCCGTGTCAAACTGAGTTCACTGGCTGACACGTAACACACAAAAGATGCAGTTGAGTGGGTGTCGTTTGAAGGATTCCCCGCTTTGTCTGCGTTGCACGGACAAAATGGCACAAACGCATCATAAATCGTGTCAAAGTGGTGATGGGATGGACGGATTGGATGAATCTTGATGCTAAAGATGCTCACGTGCGCCAAATGTAACGCAAAGTAGCCTTAGCGCATGAGATACTTGACATATTGGTATCAGTGCCCTGGAATAGCCCTCAACAGCCCCCATCATTATTGCAACGTATCTTCCGCACAGTTTATTTGATTGATTTTGGATGCATAGCAATATGAATTAGGAATGAATGCACCTACCGTGGTAGCGCTTGTCTGCGTCCTTGGCCAGCATGACGGCCATCCTCAGGCCGATGCCCGACGAGCAGCCGGTGATCAACACCACTTTCTGGCCGCCGCTCGCCATCTCCGTCCGCTGAAGGCCGGGGCGGGATGAGTGCCCAGACCCTAAGAGGATCAAAGTCACATGGACAAGACGCGGATTAACCTCGGTGAGTCCCGCGGCTCAGGTCCGGTGCAACACGGCCTCCCCCTTCTTTTTTTTTCTATTTTAAGACATTTTTATTTACAAAGAGAAAAAAACTCAAAGAGAAATTATTTGTTCGTGGGTCTGAGAAGTGCTTTTAGCCATGTTTTTCAGGAGGAAGACCCATCTCAGGCCAATTTAACGATTGCTAAAACGAAAAGGATTTAACATTACAAGGGTCATTTTTCATGTCTTTTGGATTTCTGGATGTTATTGGTGATTTTGCATTGTTCTCCTCCTCGCCATAAACTGAATCATGAAGAAAAGTACATTGTCTTTCTTTAAATACACGGCTCCAGATGGCCCCTACATGGTGGCATTTTGTTCCTGAAATTTGAGACAGCGCAAGTAAATTTTCATCGACTTGCATCTGTGTGACCAGTCAATGTATTTTCTTGAAACGTGGAGTACATTCTATCAATTATGATCACATTTTTACGACATTTAGCTCCCGGGGAACAACCAAATTCCCAATTTTAGTAAAAAAAAAAAAAAAAGCCGCATTTATGGAAAACGTGTGTTCAGTGTGCTCTAATCCCAGCTGCCTTCTTCACCCCCATAAACAAAATGTCTTTCCAAAAGCAAATGGCGGCTTTTTGAACTTTTATAGGTGTTTTTTTTTTTTGACCGAATTAGGAGTGAGACCATTTTACGTTTTACTTTTATTGTGTGCCTGCGCGTGTGCGTGTGTAGAATGGCATGGCAAAGACACACAGGAATCTTCAGAAGCATATTTTTATTGGTTGAGCAGCAGTTTTGTCCTGTCCTAGCATGCTTTGACTGTGTGTGTGTGTGTGTGTGTGTGTGTGCGTGTGTACGTGTGTGTGTGTGTGTGTGTGTGTGTGCGTGTGTACGTGTGTGTGTGTGTGTGTGTGTGTGTGCGTGTGTACGTGTGTGTGTGTGTGTGTGTGTGTGTGCGTGTGTACGTGTGTGTGTGTGTGTGTGTGTGTGTGTATGTGTGTGTGTGCGTGTGTGTGTGTGTTTGTGCGTGTGCACAAACTAAAGATGGCACAAGTGCTCATTTGTAATTATGCGTATATGTCTTGTGTAATTTCCCGCACTTACTCGACTAGTCACTTAATAATGCTAATTAAAAGAGAAATGAGGTGGATGGAGTTTCATCAAGAGGAAGGAGGGAGAGAGGAAAGGAGGAGGTGGAAGGAGGGGAGAGAAAGTGAGGGAAAAGGAGTCCAGGGTGGGAGGGAAGAGTGAACGTGCAATAATTAGAGGGGAATTTTTCTTCCCTCCCTGCCGTTGTCGTTTTCCGCCATCCAGAAAAAAAACAAAAAAACAGCGCGCTTGGAAATTTATCACTTGAATTGATTGAAGGCTTCCTTCTTGATTGATTAGGAGGAGCAGCAGCAGGAGGGACGCAAAGGAGGCCGAGAAGACGTCGGACGAGGCAGGATGCGGTGGGAGGATGGATGGACGCTGCTTCTCTTCTTCACCGTCGGGCTTCACAGCTCAATAGCAGGTAGGAGGAAGGCTTATTCGTCAGAACAAACCTTTTTTTTTTATTCTATTTTTTAAAAAATATGACATGAGGGGAGCACATTGGCCAAGGGAAAAAAGTCACGTCAGTGGTACCTCAACTTACAAGTGACCCCACCTTTGAATTTTTGAGTTATGGGACTTCACCCGTCCAATTATTAGTCTGCAGTTGTGTGCAAACATTTTGGTTGCGTGCGCCAGATGGTGGCAGCGAACTTCCCAGCTTGGCAATTTTGAGCACGTCTTCGGAAAGGAGTCAAGTGTTTGCATTCAGGATATTGATTGCTACTCCCGGTCGAAGTTTGCCATCAAACTAATCATGCTGTCAAACAAGCAAAATGCATTAACTTTTGCGTTAAAAGTGCACAAGCTTAATGCTCACACAACGCGGCAAATGCCATCGATGGACTAACAAAACCAGCATCAATATTGTAAAGGGCAGCAACACAGCATACCGCAAGCACTATATTTCTGCAAAAATGGGTGTATTGCAGGAAAAAAATCTACATTAACAAAACTATATTTCTGAAAAAAACTATATTTTTTAAAAAAAAGAATGGATATTCTTGAGACAAAAGGTTCTATACCCCCCCAACAAAAAAAACAATATATATAGAGAGAGAGATAGATATATAGGGTATGAAGAAAGGTTTTTAAGATGTGGTTAGGGCTTCAAGTTAGGATTCCTAATGAAGTTGGTTTTCAAGCCAAGCTGACTTTCTGTGTCCTCTGCGGGCTGCCTGTCATCACCTCCCCCCAATCGGCCCTGAGCGACACCTTGTTAAAATATCCCAAACCGCCATCTTGTGCGCAAACATGCTCATTATTGTGCTCTAAGTACATGGCCAAATGTCATTGTCTTGTTTTCGTCACATTCAAAGAGGAAAAAAATGAGCCACTTGTTGATAGGCAGGGTTCGCAGAGCTCAACGATTGAAACAAAAATGATGCCATTTCAAACATTTGGCTCCGACTATCAGCTAATGCCACTCGTTGCTCGGTCCAGTTCCATCGGCTCAAACTTGCAATGCCCCCCGGACCGATGAAGGAAATGATCACTTGCTGCAATAATTCGCCGGACTGGACTCATAACTGCCCCTTCGAGCGGTGAAACAAAGTGCCGCGCGCCAATGGATGCTAGCTTCAGTTAGAATTGCCAAATTTGAGTAAATGTGGAGAAATTTGTTTTCGATAATACATTTAAGAATCAAATAGAAGCCATTTGGTGCGTTCAGTGCCCCCAAGGCAGAGCGGCCACGGCACCAATGTTAAGTTACAGATCAAAGACATGACAGGTGATTTTTCATTTCTCAAGTTTGTTCTTATTATTATCCAAATGATGGTTCTTATTATTGTGGGGAGCTGTACACTCGCTGCACATTGACTCGACACATGTCATCGATGTGTTTGGACTTGCTCTTCCATACCTGCGCTTACTTTGCGCCTCGCTGCATTTTTCAACCCTGTGCTGCTCCTTCATACTCCGCCTAACTGTGTGAATGCTGCTCATTTTTTTTAATGCCTGCTCGTGTTAAGATAAGAAAACTTTTATTTGTTTCACAATGGAGAAATTCCCAATTTACAAATTTGTACTAGATTTACTTTTCAAGCCACTGTTGCCTTTCTTTTAGCTTACCAGTCAAGTGTTGCGTGTTATTTATTTATTTTTTTTTGTAGTCCCCAAACTCGTCCGCTTTAACTTCACTTAGTTCATTCCCTCACTGTAAAACACAAATATGAGCCGGTCACATCAAAGGTCACCACATTAGCTATATTCCAGATTCAACACAAATATTCGACCTTAATCTAATGTTGGCCGGGCTGGGCTGCGGCACGCCCGCGACCTTTGTGAGCATAAGCGGATCACTCAACTCAACTCAACTGTATTTCTAGAGCACTGTCAAACAGCCATCGCTGCATACAAAGTGCTGTACATGGAGCGCTACACAACAGTAAAGCAACAAATCGGTAACAAAAACCAGATCACATAATTGATGGATTCTTTTGGTTGCATTACAAACTTAAAAGCATTCTCTCAACGTGTTGTTAGACAGAATGAATGAATGAATGACAAGTTGGCAGGTTCGTTGCCAGGCAGAGTTCATAGGCCTCAACCCTAACTTCCCCGAGGGCCAATGAAAAGATGTGCTCAGCAGAGCTTTTGTCAAACTGAAATCACAACCACCACATGGGTCAGTGAAAAATGGATTGAGTTGCTGCTGGACAAAATGGGCCATAGGTTGGAACGTAACTGGCCTTCAAGCTCATGTCTAATTTTCCGGTTGTTGCTCGGCAAAATTCACAGGGCTCAAACTTTGGCCGGGTGGGAGCTTGATCGCAAGCTTTACACCTGGATGACTAGAATTCCACCTGTCAGTCATTCCTGGAAAGATGAACATACTTGCGTACACGACTTTGTGTGTTGTAAATAATGCGAACAGTCAAGTCTGGCCTGGGGGCTTAGCGTGCTCGCTTGTAGCCGCTAGCGTGACCTCCACTAAGTATTTCCACTATTCCCCAAACACCTCCATAAATATTTTTTGATCATTCGAAACACCAAAAAAGTCTGATTTTAATTTAAAAAAAAAAAAAAAATGCAAATGACATTCAAAATATTATTTCCCTTTCTGGGGTTTGCTTATTTCTCCTAATACTAAACAAGGGTTTGAACAGGTTTTTCTCACATCTACTTCCACAGGAATAATCGACATATTTTTCCTATATATATTCATATTCTAGTCATTTTATATGCGTCAGATTGTATCGGAATATCAATTAATGTTCATTTTGTCAAAAACATAAATCTAACCACGAGCCCAAATAAATTCATTTTCTCATGTCGGGTTTTATAGCTGACCAATGCGAGCACAGCAAAATTTTTGCTCTCAAAAAAATTCTAACGTGGACGCCGCCATATAGCGGGCGCAAGTGAAATTGTTGCCCGCGAGACCAAAAAAAAAAATTGGGCCGAGCAACTGTTTGTGTCTCGACAATCGCGTCAGTCGGGTGACTTGTAAGTGGAGCTATCAGGAACATTTTGGAACGTGCTGGACAGTGTGATGGTGGAGGAATGCACTCCTCGCTCTTTGTTCACGATGAGAACGTAAAAAAAAAAAAAAAAATAGGAAGAATGTCGGAGCCCCGCTGACTCGCAACGTGATGACTTTGAAATGCCTTTGACACCCCAGCGAGACCTGCGATCTACTGGGATGCTCGTGCTAATGATCCATCCACTTTATCGTGTGTGTGTGTGTGTGTGTGTGTGTGTGTGCGTGCGTGCGTGCGTGCGTGT